ATCACATCAATTGTTAGGCTTATTATGTAACCCAAGGCAAGGATGGAACTAACCCTGACTAATATGACGGACTCGGCTCGATACATTGTTTCTCTAGCCAGTGTACTACCACGTGTGGCAACAAACAGGAGATCGTTGTGTGTCTTCGCGTTGGAGCGAATCGGCTTCTCGATGACGGGGAGAGACGGCCTCTTCTCCATCACGCCCAGCTTCATGGGTGCGATCTGACTCATCTCCCTCCACCAAAGCGTCAATGTTGAAAGCATCGGTATCAGCATTGAGCGCTGCTGTTGGATCCTCGGGTAGTTTTGCACCTGTTCTCTGGTTAAAGGCCAATGCAGCATGAGAGCGAGTTCTCTTTTCATGTCGAATTTGAATAGCTTCCTGATGCTCGGGTAGGTTGCATGCCTTGGAGTTGCCAATGGCATCAAGGGTACAGGGCTGTGCGTGGCAGAGTTTCCCAAGGAGTAAATCATGAGCAGGACAATATCTATCCTTTGGTGTCTCAAGCATTACAGTGCACGGCGGTGGATTGATGATCTCCGGATTTAATGATACAAGCTGTTCCTTGGTAGCACTGCATCGAGGATGTCCAATTGTAATTCCATCCATGGCTATGGCTCGGAGAGCTGGTGACATCAGAAGGTAAATCAAGAGTGTGATTAATCAGGTATGAAGAATTACTAGCTAATTATGTAATATTTAATCTTACCCAAACCTCCTCCTTCAACATTAGGGTCTTCCAGGATTTCTGTGCATTCCGAGCACATGTGATCAATATAGGGACTTCCCTCAAGTTCGGTCCATGTGAGAACGGTCAACTTTGATTTTCGAAAGCGATGGCGAGATCCTCCAGAGTTTGATACACTCATTGGAATGTTCCGGAGGTTGAATTGTCGGAGCAAGCGATGTACATCTAACGCAGTAGTGCAACAGTGGTCGGAAAGTGTTGGCCTGAAGTTTTCAGTTTTGAAATGATTTGGGGCATCCTCCAGCAGTTTGTGACTGCTATTGTAGATAGTTACGAGATTATATACTGATACGCTGACAAAACCAAAGTGAGCATGAGTGTTAGCTTTTTGATTTGGGTAAGGATCCGCAAGAAATGAATATGTTTGTGATGACTTACTGGGCTAGGGATTGTGCATAGTTAAAAAATTCAAGCAGTCGTATTGTCATGAAATAATGCATATTGACTTGAATACAATCTGGATCATTTCTTGTTGTATCTAGATAGTAGGTGCGCTGCCCATTCTTCTTGGAAGAATATGACGCCCGATAGCTGGTCTTGCAATCTGCACAAGATGAAATCAATATGTGGTTAGAATATATATTTTGTTTAGATCAATAAATTATGATATTAATGGAGTACTGACGTCGGCAATAGGTGGTGTGGTGCCGAACTGACTTGACGCCATCAAGATCATATAGATATGCACACAGAGCCACCCTTCTTTCCAATCGACCCTGGCATTTGTGACTGGGGCATTCGTCTTTGTAAGGCGGCCAAAATATCCGTTCCGCGATATCAAGTGCGCCAGGCTCTTGATCTTGACTCAATCCCTTATCTCGAATTAGAGCAACAGGTTCAATGTAAGATGATTCCAGGCTGGAGTAAAGTACTGTCCATAGTACTTCCCAAGTTCCAGGTACTAGAGGCTCAGGCAAAACACTATTGAGATATTCATATGGTGCATTGTCTTGGTTGACTTTGATTGAGGCTTGATTGATCTTTATAAAATGGCTGGCAACCGTAACCAATTGCAACACATCTTCGCTGTCGAGGGTGTCTAGCACAGAGGGGAACTGAGAT